GTTGGACCAAAGGGTCTGTTCCATTCTGTACAGCTCTATGACTCTAAGGGAATGCACAGAAATTTGCCAAAAGGACCATAAAACATTGCAGTCCAATTGGACCATTGCACCATTCAATGAGATCACGGCTAATCTGAAAATCCTCAACTCCACTTTCCTGCCTTTTCCCTTTGATTCCATCACTGATTAAAAATCTCTCAGCCTTTGAATATACTTGAAGACACAGCTAGCTGTAGTAAATAACTTCACAGATTTGATCACACTATACTCATCATAGAATCCCTAGTGTGGAAACAGGCCCTTCGGCCCAACAAGTCCACACTGACCCACAGACATCCCACCCAGACCCATCCCCCTGTAACCCACCTAATCTATGCATTCCTGAACACTACTGGCAATTTAGCATGGCCAATCCACCTAGCCTGCACATCTTTTGGACTGTGGGAGGAAACTGGAGCACCTGGAGGAAATCCAAAGACATGGGGAGAATGTGCAAACTCCACACAGACAGTTGCCCGAGGGTGAAAGTGAACCCAGGTTCCTGGGGCTGTGAGGCAGCAGTGCTAACCACTGAGCCACTGTGCCACCCTTAAGTTTTATTACTCTCCAAGAGAAGAAAACTCTTCCTCATCTCTTTCTTAAACTGTGATGCCTTACTCTGAGATTATGGCCTCTGATCATAGTCACAGATTATACAGCACAGAAACAGGCATTTCGGTCCAACTCATCTGTGCCGCCCAGATATCCTAAACTGACCTAGAAGTGATTTGCAAAAGATGCAAGAGTGCAGTGAGAAAGAAAACTTTTTCACTTAGTGAGTAGCAAGGATATGTATGCACTGCCTTGAAGAATGGTGGAGGCACTATGAATTGGAGCATTTAACGGAGTATTAGATGATTATTTCAATAAAAATAGGCAAGTGTATGAGAAAAATGTAAAAGATTGGTAAGAATGCTCATTTAAAGAGTCAGTTCAGGAACAACGGGACAAATAACATCTTTCTGCGCTGTAAGACTTTTGTGATTCTGTGATGTTTAAAGTCATCGGAAAAACTAAATGTTACAGCCATAATTAAATAACAGAGCAGACTCGCTGGGCTGAATGTCTAATTTCTGCTCCTATGTCTAATATTAACACAAGGAAAAACATTTTCACGCAGCGAGTGGCTAAGATCTGGAAGATACTGGCTCAGTCTAGTGGAGGCAGATTAAATTTCCTCATAAGGAAAATGAGTAATTCTCTAAAGAGAAAAAAAAATTGCAGGTTTACACTGAGGACAGAGGAGTGGGATATAGTGAGATGCTTTTGCAGGGGGACAATCATGAACATACCGGATCAATTGACCTTCTTTTTGTGCATTAACCATTCTACAATTCTGTGATGAAACTTCATTAGAGACCGCAGCCGGACTAAATGGCTTGCATCGTGACATTTTGACATTTAGCCATGACCTGTCAACAGCTTAATTTGAAAACAAAACTTCCAAAAAAAAACCCACATTGGAAAAATATTGAACTATCCTGGCAGTGTTCTTTCACTAGGGACTGAGGCAAGTGTAGCTACAAAACTGATTAATTTCTGAGTCATGGGGCACAATCATCTAAGGGTCTGAGCTACATGGGATATTACAAGTTATTTTTGGCAGAATTGCACAAGATTGTTGTACAGGATGATGGTGAGGTCTCTTCTGGAGTAGTGTCCAGTTCTGATCACCCTATCATAAGGATATTATTAAGCTGGAGAGGTTTCAGAAGAGATTTCCAAGAATGTTGCCGAGCATAGAGTTTGAGGGGTGACCTTGTAGAGGGTTATAAAATCGATAAGGTGAATGGCAGGTGTCTTTTCCCTAGGGTGGGATATTTCAAGACTAGGGGGCATATTTTTAAGGTGAGGGGAGAAAGATTTAAAAAAGAAATCGGGGCAATTTTTTTAAAAACAGAGTAGTTCGTGCGCAAAATGAATTTCCAGAGTAAGTGGTGGATGCAGGTACAGTAACAATATTTAAAAGACATTTAGATAAGTGCATGAGTAAGAAATGTTTGGAGGGATATGGGCCTAGCGCAGGTAGGTGGGACTAAGGTTTCAAAGTAAATTTGTAGCTCGGGTTGTAGATGTTGTGGTTGGTTGGCTCGCCGAGCTGGTTCGGTGTTCCGCAGACGTTTCATTACCCTGCTGGGTAACATCATCCATGCTGCCTCCGGTGAAGTGCCATTGTGTTTTCCCGCCTGTCATTTAAACTCTGGTGTTCATTGAGCTGGGTTACCTCACATCCAGTTTTCCTTCGCAGTCACTCATCTTCATCCACATGGATAAGAACCACCAATTCGATTGAGACAACACCAGGATCCCGGGACAAGCAAAGCAGAGACAAGCACGGGAATTCCGAGAAGCCTGGTGCTCCACGAAGAAAGCCATCAACATAGAACATAGAACATAACAGCACAGTACAGGCCCTTCGGCCCTCAATGTTGCGCTGACCTGTGAAACCAATCTGAAACCCATCTAACCTACACTATTCCATTATCATCCATATGTTTATCCAATGACCATTTAAATGTCCTTAACACATAGAGCTAGACCCCATACACACTCCACTGTGAAGGAAAACCGGAAGTGAAGTAATCCAGCTCAACAGACACCAGAGTTTAAATAACAGACAGGAAAACGCAACAGCGCTTCATTGGAGGCTGCACTGATGATGTTACCCAGCAGGGTAATGAAACGTCTGTGGAACAACAAACCAGGTGGAACTAGTTTAGTCTGGATTATGTTTACATGGAATGGTTAGATCAAAGAGTCTGTTTCTGTGCTGCAGGACTCTACAAGAAGTCCAGTGAGTTCTACAACGACATCCGGAGCAACTCGCTGCATCTTTTATATATCTGCTGGGTGGCAAGGTGAGTTACTCACTAACTAATGGCAAGTTGCCAATTAAAGGGGATATTATTGTTTAAAGCCCAACTGCCCTATTCACCCCATTGATATTCAGCTTCCTATTTTACCAAAAGCAGCAAAGAAGCCAAATGTCAAAAATTATCTACATGGCAATCAGAGCAACTTTAGCTCACCACTGGCTGAGAACAGCCTCCACACTCCTCAGCAACAGGTGGCATCCCAGGGCACAATCCACGGGTCCCTGCCACAGGCGCCCCTTGCCCATGTACAATGGCATAAACATTTATCAACCTCCCAACAATCCTCAAGGCATCTCTCCAATCCACTTGTAGGATGCTTCAGAACCATGGACTCGCATTGCAGGGCGCACCAGCAACTAGCACTGGAATTCTGCTGCAGGAACACTTTGTACACAGGGACAGGCACTTAGCTCAAGGGTGGACCAGGCAGCATCTCACTCGCTGTCTTAGTGCTCATGCATCTCATACCTACCTGCATGCTCACAGCACCAATGTCTTACCTTGCCATGCCAGTTAGTGCATAGGCACTACTGCCAGAGCCAAAGGTGCTCAGTATTGCCGAAAGGATGTGCTCTTTTGTACAGACACACAGACAGGCTGTCAGTAGGAACTTGTTCATGAGAGGTGGAAGTTATCTTGTACAGCACATCAAGACATGTTCACAAATATGGAGTAAACACACAGCACACTATTTCAACCAAATGGTTATGTTGGCGCAGGCTCATCCTCAGTCTAGTCAAGATGAGTGGGGGCACTCGGGGGTTCCTGTACCATCAGTCACATCCACAGTCTGCACACAGTCCAGGGGCTTGGCCAGAGTCAATCATCTGATCAGGCTCGGCACAGCCAGGGGATATGTCCAACTATAGTCCCTAGAGTGGTCAAAGGTCAGTCCTGTAGGGCTGGCAGCCACAATCAGCAGCATTTATATATATACTGTCAGTCAGGGAGCTGCAAACACAGTGGTCAGGGGTCCGCTCAGCCATGTCTAGGGGCCACTTGTTGAAGTCAGAGATCTGGGGTGACTTCAATTCTGGAGGTGTGGGAGTTTATAGTCAAGTTCAAGGAAGCCTTTAGGGGATCCAGAGGGATCACTGCCAAAGCGGGTAGTGGAAAAGCAGAGGCATGTGGAGAGGTGGGGATAAGGATGATTTTCAACGTAAATGCGATGGTCAAGACGGCAAAACAACGCCTCTTCTTCCTCAGGTGGCTCAGGAAATTTGGCATGTCCATAAGGTCCCTCACCAACTTCTACAGGTGCACCACTGAAAGCATACAGTCCGAGGGCATAACAGTCTGGTACAGCAACTGCTCTGCCCAGGTGCATAAGAAACTACAGCCCAGCCATCACAGAAGCCAACCTTCCATCCATGGGCTCTATATACATGGCTCGCTGCCACAGAAAGGCAGCCAACATTGCCATGTAATGACCTCCTACAACCTCTTCTGTCAAGCAGAAGACACAGAGACCTGAACACATGCATGAGCAGGTTCAGGAACAGCTTCTTTCCGGCCGTTATCAGACTGTTGTTCGGACTCAAATAATGTAACGTGCAATGTAACCTATACCCTTTTTGAAGTCTTTTTGATCTGTACATCCTTTGCTTGCTGTGATCTGCCTGTACCACACGTAAACAAAGCTTTTCACTGTATTTTGGTATACAAGACAATAAAATCAAAATCAAAATCAAATCAATGAGAGAAAACCCAAGGTGCATGGTGGAGGGGGTAGGCAGAACAGCACTGGTGGGCATGGTAAGCTACGGGAATTGGACATTTATTGGCAGTGACCTCCAACAATGACCCACAGGGAGGTCATATAGCAGCACAGTAGACATCATTAAAGTGTAATGTCAGGGCTAGGGGAGAGGTGACGTTTAATGTGGTGGATCTCCACATGGGGGATAGATGGAAATGGCCTGTCAGGGGACAGCAAAGTAAAAAGGGACACAGGACAGAGTCAGTGTCAGATTGATGGTAAAAGCACTGGATCCATGCGTGGTGCCGTTACAGCAAATACATGAAGCAGGCTTTTGTAAACTGGAGCGAGATTTAATCTATAATAATTTCATTGTCTATTTGCTACACAGATTGAATGCGTCTTTGTTTCAAATGCTGGTCAAAGGTGAACTGCACTGCTCCATTGGTGCTTGCAAATCTAAATTTAACATTGCAGTGATTTAGAAGTTTGTGGCAATGACTTAAAACATTGGCCAAAAGCATCCCATCACCCTTGAAACTTGCAACGATGCTGTGGGATGAGTGGAACATCACTTTATCATTTGTCATGTCAGTGTCTTGATGAGCTGTACTGAAATCAATGATAAGTTTCACGGTTGACGTGGGTCTGGGATGGGAAGGGGCTTACCAGTAGGCACTTCTAGTTTGATGTAATGTGTTGGTCACTCAGCTGGCATAGCACCTTCACCGACTTGGTGCCTATGCCACAACAGAGCCATGGTGGACCTGACTATAGGGCTGCTGAAGGTATAGTTTTTGGTGGGGTGGGCAGCTGGTGTTGGTAGTGGTGGTGCTGCAGCGCACAGTGTGCCACATCATCCTGGTGTACTGTGCTCTGCACAACTGGAGCAGGCAAAGTGGCGACCTGATAGATACTGAGGAGCAGGGGGAATGGGAGCAGTCTTCCAAGGAAGATGAAAAGGACCAGGAAATTACGCAGAAGAAACCTGCCACTGTCCTATGACAGAACTCAGCTGCTTCAGGTGCTACAAGCCAGTCAGGACCTGATTGAGAATATGAAGCAGATTATGTATTTAATTCTCTAATTCATGTAAAGATGGCTCTGCAACAAGACTTGCACCGTGACAACAGCTTCACGAAAAGCCATGTCTATCGAAAAAAAGTTTCACGCTTAATGGCCAGTGAAATTTAATTCACTATTCCTGGACACAGGACTGAGGTTCATACTTCTCCACAAAGGAAGACAGTAAATGCTGTCAACTAGTGCTATCATGTGTAAACATCCTCGAGTTTGCTCCTACTGGCTTCCAACATCTAATTGCAACTTGTGTGAGACTTTAATAAAATTTCTTCTCCCTCCTTATGGAAATTTGGCTGCTCTTTTGTACTGCAATTAGAAGCAGGTCAAAGCAACTTGAAGTTGTAGGTGCTAGTTCATCACTTGTTGCTGTGGAGAGGCTTGTAGTACAGACACTTGTCTCCTTATTTGTCTCTTTCAATTCCGTATTTTATAAAATATGCAAAATATACACAAATAAAAATATTCCATTGATGTCCACTTTTAACAGTAGTTCTTAGTCAGATGAGAAATCAGAAAAGAGCGTTCATCTAAGAGGCTGCTTCAGGTCAAAAAGGCCAGTGCCACCACGGACTACTTTCCCCACCACCAGGCAGGCTGATGGAGACTTCAATTCATCATGAGAACCTAAAGAATAATAAATCAGAATTAAGGATTAATACTGAAAAAACAAATGACACATTATAATAAATTTTCCCAAAATCACTTGGCACACGACAGGGAAACATGGGATCGGAGCAGGCCATTCAGCCTCTCAAGCTGCCATTCGAGATCATGGGTAATCATCTACCACAACTCCTCCCCCCCAACCCCCACTATACCCATACCATCATTAGTATCCAGAAAGCCATCAATCCCACCCCTGAATTTATTCAATGACTGAGCTTCCACACCTTTCTGAGGTGCAGAATTCCAAAGAGTCACAACCCTATGAGTGAAGAAATTCCTCCTCATCTCAGTTCTAAATAGCTTGCCACTTACTCTGAGGTCGCATTCTCTGTTTTAGGTTCCATTTGGGCAAAGATCCTTTCTGCATCTACCCTATCATAGTCATAAGGACAGCATGGAAACAGATCCTTTATTCCAACTTGTCCAAACCGCCCAGATATCCAAAATTAATCGAGTCCCATTTGCCAGCATTTGGCCCGTATCCCTCTCAGCCCTCCCTATTCATATACCCATCCAGATGCCTTTTAAACATTGTAATGTTATCAGCCTCCACCACTTCCTCTGGCAGCTTAATCCATTCACACACCAACCTCTGCATGAAAAGGTTGCCCCTCAAGTCCTTTTTAAATCTAATGTCTAATCCTTGTAAGAATTTTCTAAGTTTCAATGAGATCACCTCTTATCCTTCTGAAGTCTAGAGTATACAGTCCCAGTCTCCTCAATCTCTCCTCATTGGACAGCCTCACCATCCCAGGAATCAGGCTGGCAAACCTCTGCTGCACTCCCTCAATGGCATGTGTATCTTTCCTGGCATTAGGGGATCAAAACTGCACATGACATTCCATGTGCAGTCCATCCAAGGTTTGATACAACTAAAGCCGGAAGCTCTATTCCTGTGTTCAAATCTTCTCATGATCAAGGCTAATTTAAAATTTGCCTTCCTAATTGCTTGCACCAGCATGTCAGCTGTCAGTGGTTCATGAACATGGACAGGTCCTGGTGCCTTTGGAGATCCACATTTTACAATTGCTCACAGTCAAGAAATACCCTGCACCACAGCTCATCCTATGAAAATGGAAGAGAGGGAGAGAGTGCGCTACAGAGAGGGAGGGCGCGTGCTAGCGAAGGAGAGCGCGCGCTAGAGAGAGGGAGGGAGAGGGTGCTAGAGAGGGAGAGGGTGCTAGAGAGAGAGAGGGCGCGCTAGAGGGAGAGACAGCGCGCTAGAGGGAGGGAGGGAGAGGGTGCTAGAGAGAGAGAGGGCGCGCTAGAGGGAGAGACAGCGCTAGAGAGACAGTGCTAGAGAGAGATGAAGTGAGTGAGCTGGGGGAGAGAGACAGAGAGAGCGCTAGAGACAGAGAGCGAGATAGTGAGAAGGAGAGAGCAAGCTAGAGAGAGAGAGACACCTAGGGGGAGAGACAGAATGAGCTGGCAAGAGAGAGGGGAAGAGGTCGCTAGAGGTGGGGGGGGG